TTAAATTCGATATCCATGAACCCATCCTCATCTTCCTTGCGATGAATTCCAAAGAGAAAATCACTTAATACACCAAGACCTCTTTCATGATTTGCTTTATCCCAGTTCATATTACTTTTTTTAACCATGGTAGTGCTAACCATCTGTTCTTTATCAGTTTGTTGTTCCATGATCAAATTTAATGATAACTATAAAATCAATTGATATCTATTAATAAGTAAATTAAGGTTACACACAGTATTAATGTAAATATATAAGAGACCCGGGTTGTAATAGGTATAATTACCACTATCGTTAACTTTCATAATAGATACCAGACCCGCCACTGAAGGAGAATTAAAAAAATATGCCTTTCTTAAATCTCTACTAAACTTAAAACCAGAAAGAACAAAACCACCAGTGAATGCTGAGTTACGGGTACAATATAAAGTTGTTAAGAGTGATAATGCAACTTATACTTATACGATCACTAATCGAGTTACCCCGGATAGGGAGAATGAAAATCAAAAATATGTAATCTCTGGTATTGTTAAGGATCTTACTAATCGAACAGAAACTGACCACGAATCACGAATGATGGGTCATCTACATGAAATCGGCTACTTTCACGATTCGAGAAGACCAACTAATGATGAAATGCATATAGTAAAATATAACAATGACCTTTATATTGACTCTAGTAAAAGTGGTATCATTTCACTTTTTAAAAATACCATCAAATATCTTTTTTTAAATAACATGGAAACGACTAAAGAACGAGTCAGAAAATTATTTCAATACGCAGAAACAGTGATTACTATCATTGATGAGAATCCAAAGGCAACTATTCAAAAACTTGTTAAGAGTCCAAGGTCAATGATTATATTTTCAGAAGGAAATACTGCTACTGATATCTAGGAAAGGCATCAGCGAAAAAATAACACAGGTTTTGTTACAAAATCTGAAACTACCAAGGCACTGGGTGCAATTGCATGAAGTATTGAAGATTATCCACAGGTAGCAAACATAGTTAATAAATCACCAGATGAATTGAATATTATGTTATCATTATCTACTTTATCTGATCAAGTTAGCATGGTAAATCAGAACTTGGTAAAAGATTTTGGTAATAACATGGTTAAAGGTAGTATCATTGAGCAACTTGAGCTTAAACTTAGTGAAATTATCAAGCTTCTAGGAAATTTA